TTGCTGGATGGACCGGGCCTCGTAACACAGTGGTAATATCCAAAGTCTGATTGTTCAATTCTTGTGACCTGCAAATGAAAACTCGTAATTAACTCGCAACAACTCAATGATTTGAATTATTGTTAAATATTTTCGAGATTCCAAACCAAATTGAATATAACTGTATTTTTATTTTTAAACATTTTAAAACAGATATAATTTTTTGTTATTACTCCTATGTTTTTTGCATGTTGTATGTAACAGACTCTGCGCCTGTCAGCGTCCGATTAACATAAAAAAGAAGAAAAAAGAAAAATATGATGCTACGATGCAACTAACTTTAAGAGTCATGTTGTCATCCAGAAGCAAATACTTTCCAGAAACATCTCCTCCATCTTCGCCCATGTATTGAACTTTTCCCGCCCCATTTCCACCATAAACATTATCACCATCATTGACATCCTTATGAACAGTCGTGACAGCTTTCATCGAGGGCAGTATCCAAAATTCAGCAACATAACCTCGAGGAATGCGTCTGGATTGACCGGAAGTGTTGTTACAGTGTAAGGTCACGTTGGTTCCAAGCGAGTGCACCGTGTACGTGATGAAGTCGTGCTCCTCCTGGCTGCTTTTGCCCAAGTTGCCTGGTAATGAAGCTGAAGAAACTGAGGTAGGTGAGGTTAGAAGGAAGAAGAGGAAAAGGAAGATGGCAAAAGTTGCAATGTTGTTGTTGCTACTGCTGCTGCTGTTGGTGGTGTTAATTTGGTTGCGGTAGACTGTGATGCTGTTGTTGGCATTGGTTGTTTTAGCGTTGGAGTTGGTTGGGATAGTGCAACTTTCGTCGCTGTACTCTGTTGCGCAACAGTCTAGATGCATCTTTCCAAAAAGTTTCTTTTCGGCGAAAACTTCCTCAGAGAGAGACATTTTCAAAATGTTATCTCGAAAGGTTAACCTCTTCATACCCAGTATAAATACTGATATATATCTATCTAACTATTGTAATTGAATTATATACCTGTTTATCTTAATGTTGTCGTAATGGTAAAATCTGAACAGTTTGCTTATAGTAAAAAAACAACAATAGCAACAACAATAACAAACTCATTAGCATTTTGAAGATTTTTAATTCTCTTTGATTTAGTCGGCAAACTTGAAGATTTATTTTAAAGCAAACTCAAGTGCTTTTATTGTTGAATTTGTTTCAAATGTGTTTTTTATGTTATCAACAAATTGTACATGTATGTGTGTGTGTGTATGTATGTATGTATGTAATGTATGTTTGTGTGTGTATGTGTGTGTGTGTGTTTATTTGCTTGTTTGTTTCGAAAACAAAAACAACAAAACGATGCTGCCCTGAAGATGAAGTACTTTGAAAAACTATTTTTGAAAGAAAAATTAAAAAATTTCAGAGAAACCATGCTCCACAGTGAGCAGCAATTTCATTGAAATAAGTAAATTACAATGAGAGTTGAATCTAAACCTGCTACGTTGCATGTATGTTTCCATTTTCTCTGCTATTATTATTTTATTTATTATTTTTATTTATATTATTATTATTATTATTAAGTTTATTCGTATGAATTTATATCCTTAAATTGAAATCATCGTCTTATATTAAGGACAGGCTTTCAAACTTTAAGTGGTAGACACGTAGATAAAAAGTTAATAAACTGTAAGACGAAAACATACAGAGGTTTAAAGTCATACAAACACAAATGTATAAAATAATTTAACATGTAAACTTACGATATTTATTTATTAAAATTCTTTTAATAATGTGTTCAGAGTCATCAATAACAAACAAACAATACAGTCCATGTAAACAAGCTACACGTGAAATCACGCATCACATACATTTCATGTGATAGTCTTTTTCTCTTTGCAGTCAAAACCGCTAACAGCAATCCCGGTGTCAGGCACCTTACCGTTACACTATCGTGCCGCCCATTATTATGTTAATGTAATATATCTTATATACAAAATGTATACATATTTATACAAACACGTTGAATTCATTTTTCATACAAATGTATGTATGTTATCAAACTCCAGACGTATACATATACAAATATTGTGCATTTTCTCATTACGTTGTACATAAAGACGTAATATACACTTATACAATACAAAAATGTTGTGTGCTGTTGTGTATACAAAAAGTTTTATTCACACAACTTTTGATTCTGATAAATACAATTTGTTTCATACAAATATGTCGTGTCTTATTTGGTCATGGTCTTGGGGTGAGGTCTTTGTGGTTTGCCAAATGAGCAAGTTGAAGGAGTCTTTCAGTGCATATGTTTATGAAAATTTTCTTGTTTTTACGGTTTATGTTTTTGTTGCTGTTGTTATTTACGTTGTTGTTGTTAATGTTGTTGCTAATGTTTTTGTAGTTAATGCTTTTGTTGTTTTTCATGTTGTTGTTTTTTACGGTGTGGATACCTTTTGTATCAATTTTCTTTTGCATAGTGTCGTCATTGTGCTTCCTGTTATTAATTTTGTTGTAACCAACGTTGCTTTTGTCGACAATAACGTTTGTTTTGATGTTGTTGTTGCTGTTGCCGCTTACAACAGCGTTGTTGTTGGAATTGTTGTTGATATGTTCATTGTTGATGTCAGGATGAAGTTGATGTGATGATAGGTGAATGTCATTTCGAATGGCGTCTTCATCAGTGTTGTTGATGTTTTTTGAATTAATATTAATGATGTCGTTGTTGATAGTCTTAGTGTTGTTATCTTCATCGTTGCGTTCATTAAGATTTTTAATCGAGTGATTACTGACTCTGTCGTAACTGATTATATCTTGATTGTTGATTAGAAAGTCATTGTAATTAACTTGATTGCTGTTGAAATTTTTATTTTTATTCACATAATTGTTTTGGTTATTTTTAGCACTGTTAAGGTTGTTGTTGCCATTCAGGTACCAAGCATGTTTGCCGTTGGTGACTGCAAACGCTGATATTATGTTCAACTTCATCTCATTGGGACGACTGATCCAGTTTGAGATGTAACCGGATATCGAATCGCAGTATCGGCTTCGGTAAGTCGGATTGTCAATTTCAAATGTTTCACTAGGAAGCTCTAGGAGGGACGAGTTTTTGACGTTCGGTTGGCGATTAGATGTTTGGTAATCTTCTTCTTCCTCTTCCAAGGTAGCCAACTCCGGGTTGGCTTTCCGGTTCAGATCGCTGAGTGTTGTTGCAAATTGTCTTCCGTAGAAGAACATTATAGTGCACGCCATGACGAGAAGGACAACCATCATGACTGGATATTTCCTTTTGGAAAAAATATTTTCGAAAGAATTTTTCGTCAACTTGATACCACTATCGTAGAGCGATTCGACGTTCCTCAAGGAAAGATGGTCATCCAACTTCTTTTGCTTCAGGTACTGCAGATACTTCAGTTCTTCTTTTCTCTTATCAGCCCATTTCTGTCGCACCATCTTGATGATGACGAGCGTCGAAAAGAGGATCAACGCTAGGAATGAGACGCTGTACATAGTGCAGTTGAATGTGAGAGCACTTCTTGTCAACTTTAGGTTCCTCCAGCGAAAGTTCAGCCAGTTCTTCCACTCGACGCGTTCATCTCTGGGTCTGAGGACGAGGGTCAGATGCGATATAGTTGACGGTCGAGTGAAGAATATTGACAAACCGGATTTGAGATCGAAAAGTGTTGAGAACCGAATTCTCGACGATCCATCGCTAGATCTGCCATCACTGATTTCCGAAGGATCGTAATATCTGACAAACTTTTTTCGAATAATTTCGTCGAACCTCAGAACGGTTTGCAATTTTTTGGACTGAGTTCTTTTCTTAGCGTGGTTCACAAATGCAATGACGTTTCTGTTGGAAGCTATTATTTCTCCAACCTGAAAATATTACATATAGTGGAATTACGTCCATCATTGTTTAAAAACCGCAACAAATATAACATAAATTTTTCGAATTAATAAACAAAGAATTTAATAAAACATTTTCAATAAAATTGTTGAGCTAATAAATATCAGAAGCACATAAAACAATTTAAAAGAAGTGAACCGTCTCTGTGATGGACATATTGATTGGTAAGGTGCACGGCTCTAATAGGGCTGTCACAAGTTGATAGACCTGAACCGGTAGAGGCATTTTTCTGTTGTAAGAATATTCAGACTCGGTTTTTGTCGAATTTTTGTTCATCCTCTTCTCCCTGGCTAGCTTCTTCATCAATTCCACCTTGTCAGCACCTTCATCATCAGCATCATTATTTGCAATGCTATCATCTTCCTCATCATGTTCCTCATCTTCATCGTCGTCGTCCTCAAAGTTTTCACTATTTTCACTTTTGACTTTCGGACAGTTACCCATCCCGACGCCACAAAATGTGAAGATGAATATCTCTCTCGGATGGCTTTGCGCGTAAGGGCATATGAGCTTCAAGTCGTCAAAGAATGTATTAACAAGCTGATGACTATTGTTGACGTTGTTGTTGTTGTTGTTGTAATGGCGGTTGTTGTTGCTGGTGTGGTACGTACCCCAGACGCAATCTTTCACTTGCCTCTCACAATGTATGGACAGTTCGAAAAATCTGTTTCATTCAATCAGGTAGGTGTAAATTTTGCTCAGCAAGTTCAAAAACTTGTAACGTTTTAATTTTAAATACTGATTTAATTTCGTTATTTCAAAATGAGGTTAATTAAGGTAATAAGATGACACTCGATATTATGGCTGTTAACTATTTTGCTTTCTGAATTAAATCAACATTTAGAATTGAATAAACGAAAGATTCAAATATACACGAGGCCTATATAATTAATTCTACAATAGAAGGTTCTGAAGCTCCTATCTCAAATGACTGTTATTATAACGACATTAGCACTGATGATAAATCCATAATAAAGTAATAGCCTTTGAAGTTGAGAGTAAATGTTTCCATTTGTAAAAAAAAATGTTTAAACTTGTTTACCTGAAGCCAGAATTCATAAGTGCGATTAGTGGACTGGATGTGGAGCTGTGGTCAGTATTTTCGCTGCTGCTGCCGACTTCTCGGTTTTGTGAGGAAATGAATTTTTGATATTGTTGAAGGACTCTTGTATTTGTTCCTACAAATAATAATTCGTCCACGTATTTGTTTTCGTACTGCAAAATTTTCATGTTGTTTTCTTGCTCCAGTTGTTCCTGCTGCTGAAGTTGATGCGCGTGTGGGTGTGCTGAGATTTTGTGTTGCGGAAACTGTTGCGACTGTGCGTTTTGTTGTTGTAGCTGTTGTTGGGTTGATTGATATTGTTGCTTGTGCAAAGGATTTGTTTCATGAAGGCTGTCTACCTTCCCGTCCTTCCCAATCACATGTTTCTGCATCTCGTCCACAGGAAAGATGGAGACTGTTGATGTTGCGGCTGATGACTGGTAGTTGATCAGCATGACGAACAGCATTATGAAGGTCGACCAGAACATGACTGCAACGACTATGGACACCGTGACGACGAGCCTCTTATTATTCAGCCAATGCATAACCACCTCAACATCTCCATGCCACACCCCTCTCCTTCCAGCTCAAACATTCTTCTAAAATCATTTCCCGCAACTTGCGCGAATAATCTAAACCAAAATTACAAAACGATTGAAATATATCTTTTGAAACAAATGTTCAATAGAACCTCATTTGAAGCGACAAACTCAGGAGAATATTACGAAAACAAACAAACACTGTTCATATATTGAAGATGTCTGTATGGATGGTTGGAGAGAATCGTCAGCTGAGCGCTGGAGCTGCATGCAAACACTACTCCGATCAATACAGCACGCAACATCACATCGCTTCATTTGACAGCGGCTCCACTGCATGGAAACTACATTATTAACATAATTCGCGGGGAATGAAGGTTTCAAGAAAGATTTCATTTGCCTTCAGAACGTGTTTGTTTAATTAAGTTAGAGCAGTGTTAAAACAAGCTGATGGTTGGTTCATTCATTTGCGACTATGCAATCAACATTCTGATATTCATAATTGTAAAATTTGCTGTATACTCTCAAGCATCATGATTCGTTTCTATCACAGGCAACACTCTTAAGTATTAAAGTTTTGGAAAAATAACTTGTTGGATTAAGTTTTCATTCATCTACTTCTATCTATCTATCTACCTACCTACCTACCTACCTACCTACCTACCTACCTACCTACCTACCTACCTACCTACCTACCTACCTATCTATCTATCTATCTATCTATCTATCTATCTATCTATCTATCTATCTATCTATCTATCTATCTATCTATCTATCTATCTATCTATCTATCTATCCATTTAATTAACAACATTTTCATGAAATTGTATTTAAAGAGTGAGAAGAACCGGAAAAAAAACAGTTGGTGCTGTTGTTAAAGCAGGCTTCAAATTCAAAACATATGTAAGGTGTTAAACAAACCAGGAGAACATTTGGATATACGAACTAACATTTGCATAGATGAATGAACGAAGGGATGAATGAACGAATGATGAAAAAAAAATGAATAAATTATGGTGATTAAATGGATAAAGAAAAGAGCATGAATGCAATTGAAATAACCAAATATACAATAAAATGTGCCGATACGAGGAAATATCCCATAACCCTAATCCATAAACACAGTGTTTGAAGAGTTTAAATTAATTGAAACAATGTCTGTGATTTATTACGCATGCACTGTGTGCATGTGTGTGTGTGTTTGTATGTGTGTGTAAGTATGTGTGTGTGTGTATGCATGTATATATCAATACTATTATATATTTAGAAGGTCGGTTGGTCTATCAATCAACCAAATTATCAATCAATCAATCAATCAATCAATCAATCAATCAATCAATCAATCAATCAATCAATCAATCAATCATTCAATCATTCAATCCATTAATTAGCTAAAATCAATCAATTTAGCCCAAACTATTTAATAAAGTTTACAGGCATCTGGAAACTTATTTATTAAGCATCTTTGAAGTGAATATGTTTCATTACAAAAATAAAAATAAATTTTTAATACTCCACTTCTGTCTTTAGAACGATAGAATGATAGACAGACAAAAAGATGAAAGAATGAGGAAGAACGAAAAAGAGAGAGAGAGATATATAGATAGAGAGAGAGAGAGAGAGAGAGAGAGAGAGAGAGAGAGAGTGAGAGAGAGAGAGTGAGAGAGAGAGAGAGAGAGAGGATGAAAAGAAGCAAAAAAAAGAAAAAAAGGTCCTAATAGACAAGCAAGGTAAGGCAACATAAATCTTTGAAAAACAAAATAGAAAATGTATACATGATGGTTGTATGCATAAAATATGTAAATGTATGTTCCAATGTACGTGTGTGTAAGTTTGCATGTACGTCTGTATAGTGTGTTTATGTGTGTGCATGTATGTATGTATGTATTTGTATGTGTCTGTATGTATGAGATATGTATTATTACTAGAATTTATGGAAAAAATAATCTGAATATTCTATTATATAATGAATCTACGATATTTACAATTCAATGAAAAGCAATATTATGTATATATATATATATATATATATAAATAAATAAATAAATATATATATATATGTATATATATGTATATATATATATATATATATATATAGGTATGAATATGTGTATGTATGTGTGTGTGCGTGTACTTGAAAACAAATGAATGCTTGTACGGTTGGTACTTTAGTTGAAATAAGAAATTTTCAATAAACAGATTTTATCATTGTATAAATTTATCTCTGAAATTCTTGAAACTATTTGAGAGGATGGATTCATCATAGTAATATTGATAAACTATTTAAATTGAATTTTTAATTCTTAATTTCTAAATTCTCAATTTGATTCATAATTAAAAGTTTACAATTCGTTCGGTTATTTGTAACTATTAACAATTCATTTAATATACAAATTTTATCTATATTTATGTCAATTAACTTATTGTTTATCGATTTAATTAAAATAAAAATTAAACTAAAATTCGTTTGGCTAATTTCAAGATAGTGATGCTGTGTTCAAGGCTGCTGTAATGCTATTAATATCACCATTGTTATCATTATCATTATTATTGTTAATGTTGTTGTTGTTGCTGCTGTATTTGTTATTATTCTCAACAACATTAGCATCAAGTATAATACCATTTTGCTTATCACAAGTTGTTGTTGGAGACAATGAATTGCTTGCTGTTGGAGTATTGCTTTCAAGTTGTAATGGAAGAGAGATGTCGGATTTTAAAATTTCTTGCAGCTGTTGTGGTTGCTGCTGCTGCTGTTGTTGTTGCGGTTGTTGTTGCTGTGGGATTTGTTGATCGGAGAGAACATTTGAAAGAGTATTTGAGTTGAGTTGAAAATGTTGTTGTTGTAGTTGTGGTTGTTGTTGTGGATGTTGAGCTGTATCAAGATGAGATTTCAAATCATCTTCCTCAGCTCCATCCAGTACGAGATGCTGATCCAACCACCGCTGTACACTAGAGTGTTGCTGCTGTTGAGGTTGACCACTCGCACCATTTCCAGGTAAAATTCCATCATTCTGCTCTATCCCAACGGCATCCAATCTTAAATTTCCAACTTCCTCTACGATTGCAGGTTCTTGAGTGGAACTCTGTTGAACGTTTTGTTTTGTTTCATCAACTGTGACATCATTCGCAGGAACTTCAGTTTTTTCATTGCTAACAGGAGGGCAGACACATTTGTCACTTTCACGATCCGTGGTAGAAACTTCAACATTGTCGTTACCATCTTGAAAAGTGTTTGCCGAGTCATTATTGCACAACAACACTAGACTATTTTTCGATAAATTACTGAAATCATCGGCAGAGTAAGTCAGCAGACTGGTAGTAGCAGTAGCAGCAGAGGTATTATTTGTACTAGAATCAGTCGGGTTACTGGTGCAAATGTTACTTGCTGCTGGACTTGGAGTGTCACTGAGAGTTGAGGTGTTGTTAGTACCATTGATTGGCTGGTTACATTCCTGTTGTTGGCCGCTGTTGTCATCGTAGCAGCACGAAACTGACGGGCTGATTGGCTGATTGACTCCACTTTTCTCAACCTCTTGAATCAATCGCTTCACTCCAACCAACCATCTGCTGACCTGAAAGTGATTGGATGAAAAAGCAACCAATCAATTAATGAATTACTTAATTAATAGATGAAAGATTAAATGAATGTAAAACTCTATTTAGTTACTAAATGAATGAAAAAATGATTTAATGAATGAATGAATTGATGAATGAATGAATCAATCAGCCACCAATCAACCAATTAGCTAACTTCAGACACGTGATCAATCATGAGAGCAAGGTGAATTTCATGCGCAACTGCATGCTTTCGCCTGTGTATTGCTGGTGGGAAGTGTTTTCAATCAATCAATCAATCAATCAATCAATCAATCAATCAATCAATCAATCAATCAATCAATCAATCAATCAATCAATTAATCAATCAATCAATCAATCAATCAACCAACCAACCGATCGATCAATCAATCATTCATTCATTCAATCAATCAATCAACCATTCAATCAACCATTCAATCATTCATTCAATCAATCAATCAATCATTCAATCAATCATTCAATCAATATTATTAAAAAAATCTTGGCCAATCATGTTCAAGCAATTTATTTTGATGAAGTAGCCAATCAGGGTCCAACCTGTGGCCAGCTTGGCCATCGATGACTTGACTGGATATGAAATCTTCCCATTCTTCCACATGTCTGAGAATATGTTGAGCTTTTTTTGCATGTCATCAATCGTTCTCTTCTGCGAACGAGTGAGTGAATGAATGAGTGAATGGGCGAATGGATGAATGTATGGATGAATGAATGAACGAGTGCATAAAAAGTGAATGAATGACCGAATGACCAAATGAATGAAATGAATGAGTGAATGAATCCGTGATTAGACATTTATTACCCAAAATCACATTAAAAAAACACACAAACAAATGTATTAAGCAAAAAATTATCATAAATACTAACATGAAATATGTAATATAATATATAAATAAACACCACATACGAAGTAACACAGCATCACATGAGATCTGGTGACATCATAAGTTGATCTGATGACATCTTTGTATATAATATGACATCACCATCAAACAAACACACCTCTGCAGTACTGGAGCAATCATTGAGAGCCCTCTGCAGCCTGGTGACAGTGTAGTGGTACATCTGCTCGTCGTCGGCAAAACATGGCGTCTGCAACTCGCAGCTGTCAATCACAGCTGCTACGGGCAGATTTGACATTGGATCCGTTGCGATTTGTGGAGACACTGGATGGCACGTCGATGACAGTGGCATGGCTGCAGGGATGTGCATGGTTGGGACTATCACCGGGCCCGGGAATTTTGGAGGTTCGCTGGACATTGATGGGGGAAGTAGTTGAACCTTCTGGAAAGCTGACGTCTCACCGGAAATCAGGGATGTCATGTTAGCGGATGGCGTCATCATGGGCGGGGGTGGGAGAGAAGATGGAGGATATTGTGAAGGGGCCGATGGTGTTAATGATGGGGACTGTTGAGGGTTTGCTTGGTTACTGTGGGAGACCTGAGAAAATGCTACTCTCTGTGTCAGAATGTTACGCTTCTGTGGAACCTGGTTGATGGACTGACCTGTGCCACTGTTGACTGCTGCTGATGATCCATATATGAACATTGGAGGGTCATTCCAGCCCCTTTCCAAGTTGCCTGGAGTTTATTTAAAAAAAAACATTTAATCAATTAACAACAATATATATATATTTCCTTATATCTTATAATTTGGCTATAAAATATAAATTAATGCCTTTCATTTCAACTATCTTTTCTTATTTCTTGTGATATGCTTCCACGAATTTAAAATTAAATAAACACTAAACAGTGTTCACCTCATTTAAATTTAATAATGAATATCATTTTCTTTTTAAAGAAAAGTGGAACAAAATACATTAGATCCTCAGATATGAAATGAACTCTGACAATATAAGTTTAAATAAATTTAAGATTACAGATTAGCATTAGATTATTAGAATGTAATGCACAGTTTAGAGATATTATTAATAATTTAATCTGTGGTTAATTAAAATTAAAACTTTAATTTTTAATAATAATATAATAATTATAATTATTATATAATTATTATAATATAACATAATAGAAATAAGAAAAATTTTAAGTCTTAAGGAAGGATTTTAAAAAACCTTCCCAAATAGCAGATGAATATGTGTTTGTTGATTTGTGCTTGTTGTTGTAGCACTTGGTAAGTAAATCAATCAGTGAATATAAAATAAATAGCTAGGACTTGACTAGTTAGTAAAGAACTGCACAAATTTGTTACTAGCTTAAAACTGCCTAACTAAGCTTAACTTTCGAAACTTATCATATTTAAAAAAAACTGACTACTAAGTTCAAAACAAATGCATCTTAAAAATTACAAAAAATAAATCAAATATTTAAAAAATTTTGAAAAACTGAAATCAGTGCCTGGTTTGGTTTGCCTGGACATCTGGCGACAATTAAATAAAAATAATAAATCGGTGACACAACGACAACGAGTGGAAAAAACCCAATGCCAACAACACCAGCGATGTAAACAACAACAACAACGTGCAAAGATTAAAAACAATTTTCTGAAATAATTCAAGTTGACATGCAGTTTTTTGGTTTATGCTATACTATAAATATAAATATATGAATTTAATACAAATATACAAAAACGAATGATTACTGCCGACAATAAAGAAGTAATTTTATTCACCAAACAACACCTTTCTGTAAACAACAGACCATTATTAAAATATATTTATAAAAGGTATATAACAGTTATGGCTAAAAAAAAGGTTGAAGATCAACCTCTTTTGCGCAGTTGTTTCAAAATTGTCAAGGACAAACACACACGAAGTGAAAACCGCACATCACAAACACTGCATACAATAGGCAGGAATCACCTTGCAATCGAACCGGTCCGTGCCAGCGACAGCACGACCAGTCGAATTTAACCATTCCTTCCGCCATCAAACTGCCAGTACAGTTATAAAGTATAGTTACTTGCATGTAGAGGTTTGTAGTTTAAACCTTAGAACAGGGGTGGGCAAACATGGATGATGATGTGTCATACTATCTGACGTGAACAAATTTTTTCATGCGTAAATATAGAATTAAATTTTATTTTATGAAGGTTTACGTAAAGTTAATTTGCTTTTAAAACCCTTCAATGTAAACCTAATTCATACGTTACGATGATAAATGCAAACTCAATAAATCACATTCAAATTTTTTTTTTATATAAATTTCAGTTCTGACTAAAAAAATCACATTCGAAAGACTACAAGCGTTACAAGTGTAACTATTGTTTCGCCATCCTATCGGCCTGCGTGTTATTACGCCACACGTGTGTGTATTAGTAATATATTGCTGGCCGGTTAGTAGGATTTGAATTGTGGCATTGTAGTGAGAGAATAAGTGAGTGAATGAGTAAGAGAGAGAGAAAGAAAAAGAGTGAATGAGCGAGTGAATAAGAGAGTGAGGGAGTGAGTGAATGAGAGAGTGAGGGAGTGAGTAAATGAGTGACAGAGAGAGAGAGAGAGAGAGAGAGAGAAAGAGAGAAAGAGAGAGTGAAAGAGAGTGAGTGAGGGAATGAGTGAGTAGTAAGAAAACGACAGACTATGTGGAAACATTGTAGTGGATGAATGGAGATGACTTAATCTCACGTTCTTAATGAACTTATTATATTTGTAATTAGGCTCGCCAATTTGACCGCAGTCCCGTGTTTGTTTGTGTGTGTATGCATGTGTGTATGTAAGTATGTGTGTGTGTATATATTTATGTGTACACGTACGGCAATATACCCAACGATACAAGTATGCATGTATATTTTATGGATTCGTTTTTCTGTTTTATTTGGGACATATGCATGAAGGCACTAGGTTTTGGTATATTCAGACATGTTTGTGTGCGTGTCTGTGTATTTGTGTGCGAGTGTGTGTGCGTAAATAAAAGTTTTATGAAAAGTATAATAAATATTTACATCTACGTATTTAGATAAATATATGCTTGCCCATTGTAATAAACATATAGGACCAGAGATACATTGATATTTTTTATTGGGAAAAATTTGTGTGTGTGTATTTATATTTTAAGAAAGGTGCCACACACACACACACACACACACACGCACAAACACACACGCACGCACACACACACAAATGGATGATGTTTGAAAATAAAGATTCGTTCATACTGGGCATACATCAACATGAACACGCACCAATGCATAATGACCAACAAGTCCAGACGAAATGTATAAATCAAGGCTACGCTGTGTTATTACTGCTGCTGCCCCTACCAAATCCGCTACAGCTGTTACTACTACTAGCATTACTGCTGCTACTACTGCTGCTGTTACTGCTACTACTGTTGCCGCTACTTTGCACTTACTGCTGCTGCTACTGTTGTTAGTACTGCCAAAATTCAAGTTCTACGTCTATTGAACCATTTGTTGCAGCAGATGTATAAATTGGCAGTAACTACTGCAATAGATAAAAAATACTCAACAAAAAAGTAACCCAAAAATAATTTTCCTACTGGCATTTCAATCTTTCTTATTTTATTTGATTATTATTTTTATTTTGCCAAAACTCATACCAAAAATATTAAAAAAAAACTAAAACAACAACAGCAACGACATTTCAAAAAACAGGATCAAAAAGGAAACTGCAACAGCAGTGGCAGCAGCAACAACGGCCACAACAACAAGGCTACGCTGTGTTATTGCAGGTTTGAATTATCATTCACCAAAAAATTATAGGGCTAGAATGGAGACTATATCAACTAACAGATGCCCGGGGACATTCAACTGTCCCGGCAACTCGACATGTCTTACAGCAATGGAAATGTCTGAAGTAGGGCAACAACAACAACTACAACAACATCAACAACAACATCAACAACAACAACAACATCAACAACAACAACAACAACATCAACAACAACATCAAAAACAACAACACAACAACTACAATCATGTCTTCGCAGTTGTAGGCACACATGTTGCCGATTGAGTGCATGCAAGGTTGAGCTGTTAATAGATTATTGATTTATAGGTTTAATAAAAGGGAGAGTTCGTCTATCCATTAAAAAAATAATGGAAAAGTGAAGCGTTATATAAGGAGAGGCAGGATTAATGTTTGTTTACATTTCCATATAAGTAAAGGCGTATTTGTGTGCGTTTGGGTGTATGCGTGAATTACATGTGAATGAATTACGTGTGAATGAATTATGTGTAAATGTGTGGTGTATAACGACAATGTGTGTGTGTGTGTGCTTTCGTGTTTGTACGTATTTCGTATGTATGTATCTATATCCTATGTTTGTGCGTGTGTGTGTGAGTGTTTGTATTTGTTGGTGTTTCTGCTTTGTATGAATGTATCTATATCCTACATTTATGTGAAGATTGTTTTTGTGTGTTTTTTGTATAAGTGAGTTAGTGGTCTAGCACATAGGTAAAAGTTTGTTTAAGTATTTGTGTGTCAGTCACTATGTGGTTGCGTTTGTATGTGTGCTAATGCAAAACTATTTCACTGTGTACTCTTGAATACATGTTGATACTATTAAAAATGTCTGTACATACATGAATCATTTTTACGCAACACGCGCTATTTTTGCACCGTACTGCGATGCTATGCTTGTACTTTGTATGTTTAGTGTACATTTGTGCATGCATATGTGTTGTACGTGGTTGTTGAATATGTGTGACTGAGTTTAATATTCAATTATACAAATAATTTTCCATCGTTTCAATCGTTCCATCTCTCGGCTGTTTCCCTCTGATCACTATCATCATACTACTCATCATCACCTTAATCAATAATGTTACTAGGTTTTAGAATATAATTTTTTTTGACGTCATCATCATTCTTTTACTTTCCATCATCATTTCGTCATCACCATCCCCTTGTTGCACTAAAGCTGCTTCATCATCTTTTCTCCAACATCGTCATCATTACGCTTTTTAAACGTCATTAATATCATTATCGTAATCGTCGTCAACATCCTTATCATCGTGATAATATTCATCATCATCGTCGTCGTCGTCGTCGTCATCATCATCACCATCGTCGATTTTGATGTGACGAAAACACCACCTATCACCATCATCATCATCAAAAATGGCATAATTGTCGATATAACAAAAAATTTGTATCATCATCACCACAACCAACAACACCATCATCATCATTATCTTTTCTTATCATCATCATCATCATCATTATTACCACCACCATCACCATCATCATCATTATTACCACCACCATCATCATCATCATCATTATTACCACCACCATCATCATCATCATCATTATTACCACCACCATCATCATCATCATCATTATTACCACCACCATCATCATCATCATCATTATCGTCATCATCAACTTTTTTCATCATTATCACCATCATTTTTATCATCATCTTTTTTTTTCTTCATCACCGTCTACTTTCATCATTTTCATCATTGTGATCATCTTTTTTCATCATTATCATCGTCATTGTGTCTCCACCATGGAAAGGCGTGTTGCCGTGGTAACGGTTTAGCGCGCTTGACATGCTACAACGAACGAGTATCAACATCATTATCGTTCTGTCATCGTCATCAACATCACCATCATACCATTATCGTCGTCATCATCATCATCATCATCGTTTTCGTTGTCG